CCCCCCCCCCCCCCGCCTTAATTCAGGGTCTCACTGTGTAGTCCAGGCTGGCTTTGCTTTGAACCCTATAACTAGCCCAGTAGCACAGGATGGTCTCAAACTTGGAATTCTGCCTTCACCGCCAGAATAATGGAATTTTAAGCTCCATATTTCATTTCTTCAGTTGTGCAGAAATTACGTTATGTTTGTTCTTCACGAACATGTGATACTGAAGACCTTTTAAAAGATGAGTGAGGTGCTGGGGAGATAGCTCAGTAGAATAAGCGCTTGCCTGGCAAGCCCAAAGGCCTGAGTTCAATCCCCAGTTCTGCCGAAAAGTAAAATAAAAATAAAAGATCAAATCCTTAACTTCCAGAAGTGCCATGTGCTCTGCAGAATAGTACTTTGATACCACATAAAAGCTCCATGTGATTTTTTGGTACTTTAGAGATTCTATGAGTTGCTGACTAAATTTCTGTGGTTTGCAACTTCAAATTCTCAGTAACCTATTTAATAAGGCCTTCCTGGGATTTGAAGTGAAAAGAATGAAGTGTGTTGTTAACCTGAAGGCAAGCCAGACCAGGAAGGTCATAGCAGTCTTCCCTTTGAAGGCAGACTGTCTCTGGAAGGCTGATTATTTATTACAAACCATTTGTAGACAAGTCCAGAGTCCGAACCACGGGCCCCGTTCATTAGTTTGCAGAGGGAAATGTTACTGCCAAATAAAACTGTGTCATGACTTAAGTTGTTTTCCTACAACTTTTTTGCACAGTAAAGACTTAATACCTACCATCAGGGCTGGGGAGATGGCTCAGTGGCTCAGTGGAAGAAGCACTTCCCTGGCAAGTGCAAGGGCCTAAGTTCAGTCCCTGGTTCCACCAAAAAAAAAAAAAAAGAATTAAATGTACATATAAACATAAAACCTATTATCTAAGTAGTTGTGACAAAATGTGTCCTGGTGTCATTCTAATTATACTTTAAGTGTATTTTTTTTAAGTGTATTTTAGTAATGGTTCTCTCAAAGATATATTTTTAATGCTAAAAGACTTCCTTATTGAGATTTTGGATAAGCCATAGGGACCTTGGGTTGGCGAGAATGTGATGAAACAAATGCACATAACATTGTTGCTCAATAAACAACTGTTTCATACTTAACTGCAAAAACATTTTAAGTTGAAGATACCTTCTATTCCAAGATACTGGAGAAAGAACATTGTTACTATACTTGTCTAACCATGTGGTTGAATTTTGAAGGCATTCTCTGTTGACCTGGGAGGTGAGGGATGGGGCGTTAAAATAAAAATGATTATTATGAATGAGAATGGTGAGAGAAACCTAACATTTTCATGTCTGCCTTTTCATACAGGGTGACATATGTGATGCTCATTTTGTGAGACAGCTTTTTGAAAAAGAGAAAATCAATATAGTGCTACATTTTGCTGCACAAACCCATGTAGGTAAGCACCCAGAACATTAATGTATTATCCTGTGTGTTTTTAAACATTTTAGAAATGGCCAAAACTAAGCTATCATGTTAGGGATAAATATATAAACAGCAGAACTGTAGAGGAAAGCAAGGGAAATCCTCATTTTAAACCAGGCAGCAGGCAGTGGCAGAACTACCCCTGCCGGGCATTAAGCAACTTCCTGTCTTTTATTTGGGTGACAGCTGCATGGGTGCTCTCTTTATTTTTTTAGCTGTACTTGCAGATTCTTCTAAATGTATGTTCCATATCATACTAAAAATGGTAGATTAATTATTAGAAACTACCGTAAATATATAAAATGGTAGAGATAATAAAATGTTCACTGTGTGCCCAACACCCAGTTTAAGAAAAACAGTGCATGGGGCTGGCGAGATGGCTCAGTGGTCTAAAGCACCTACTTGGAACAAGCTTGGCAAAGTACAGGGACCGCGGTTCGATCCCCCAGCACCACATGCCAGCCAGCC